TCAAACTGAGGCTCAGGTTCCGCTAACCAAAACTGGTCAACACTCTGGCGCTGAAGAAAGGTCTGGCTGCTGCTTATAAAGCTGGTCTCCTAATCAGGTGGATGAGTCGCAGGTTTGTATGTGGCTTCCTCTCAGGAGACCCAGGGCGCTCTCTGCTGGAGGAAGGTGGATCTCCAGAACCAAACTGGTGAACAGACAATCAGGAGGGGATCCTCGGCGCCCTCTGGTGGGCAAGCCTCTGGATCCCAACATGAAGGGCAGCTGCTTCCCCCTGAGGCTGCCCTGCACCATTATATGTGTCCTACAATCACACAATGTTTCTATTATACAAGTGTATTTTTAATAGTAAAGGATTAAATGTAACACAACCTTTTATCATCATCCTATATTGCAACTGTCTGACCGTTTAAATAGCTCCTTATGTCTATTTTCTTTTTTAGTGGCATCATCTACAAAGCACAATACTAAGAATGAGATAAGTTTATTCAAATATAAAATCCCTTTTAACAATAATAAAAGACAATATAACAATATCATATCTGCTATGTAATAGTCTCCAAAATAAACAGCTAGATACAAACATTATTTACCAGACATTAATGTTTGGAAATCTAGAAAAATAGCTTCAGCGTAAATAGAGCTCCTCTGTTTGTCTTTATCCTATTTCTAGAAGTAGAAATCAATTAAATAGAACTATTTTAATGTGGAAAACAAAAAATAGCAAATCTTTAGCATCCTTCTCGTGTTGTTATGATCTACAAAAGTCGAAAATGAAAATAGTAAAAGCAAAGAAACATTAGTAAAAGGGAATCAGAAATGTTGATAGCTTACGGTCTTTGTTCAATCTAACAGCAGTTTTCAGAACTCCTTTCTGACTCAGAATATTTAGTTTTACAAAAGAAATCCCAACATTGGTTACTTATATTTCTCAAGTTCATCAAATCCAAACCCTCTCCTGCTTCTTTGCAGACCTGCAATCAGAAGATTTCACCTGTTTTAGAGTAGATAATATTTAGTTTTTTAATTGGAACTAGTTTCCTAGCCTAATATTAATTTTGGTAAATGCGGTATTCTAACGTCATTTAAAAAAATAAAATAAAATTGCGCTTCAAGTGCGTGCCCACACATGCAGAGGAGCTGAGAGAGGAAAAGAAGCGACTGCTGCAACAACGCTGTATTTTAAATTATAAACATGTTCGTAGGGACAAATAAGTTGATCCATAATTTGGTAGGGACATGTCCCTATGGTCCCCATGCAAACCTACGCCCATGTTCAGCTGATGTCCACAGGTTGGTTGATGACCAGGAGGCTTAGATTGCTACCTTAATCAGGTAATTGCTGCTGGTTTGTGTGGGCTGAACACCAATGTTAGTTAGATAGTTAGCTAGGTTAGTTGGTGCTGTTTTCTCACAGAATTGGTTCCGAAGAAGAGATTTTGGTTTCTGCTTCTGGTTTTCAGGAAGTAATGGGAATCATTTCCATAAGAATTCGTCATGATCCTGTTACTGGTGGCTGGCCTGACTGCTCATTCCACTTGTCTGTTTAGCGTGTTTTCCAGCTACCAGTGCCAGATTATTCAAGTGGATTTGCATGATAAACTCTAGCATTCTGTTTTGTTGTTCTGAATATTGGATTGTGACCTTTTTCTGCCCTGTGGATGCCGTTTTGCTTTGTCCCTGTCTGCTCTGTTGATCTGCTCTGTTCTTGACTGATTCCTGGATTCTACTGGCTCACCAAACTTGGACTGTTCGTCTGACATCGGCTTGTATCCCCTTATCGGCTCTCTGATCTTCTGGTCTGTGAACCTTCTTCGGCTTTGGACATTTCCTTCAGGACTCTTTTGCTCCTTAATTATTTTCACCTCTTATTAGTTACTGACCTGAGTTTCTGTTCCCAAATAGGATCCGGTTTATGTGCTCCAGCTGACGAGCAGCTGCACGCTGAGTGTTCAATAAAGACTTGTTTTGAACTAATCCAGATCTGTCTGCTTTGAATATTGGGTCCAAGATTTTGAGCTTATTACAGTATTTGGTGCCCCCAGTGTGCTTAGCATTATCGATAAGAGGTAAATTTCTAATTGCAATGTCATGGTGATGAAACCTTACAGCTGTATTTCAGATATTGTTATTTTGTAGTTACAAAACCATTATGTTTTTCATGCATTAGACTCCAGAGACATATTTTTGTGACAGGGGCCCCAAAAGTTACAATCAAGTAATTTATTAATTTTCCTGGTTTACATAAAAAACACTGAGTGTAAGAGCCCTTTTTCTTTTTAAGCCAAACTGAGGTGCATTACAGTTGACACAAACATAACAATACACCTTCATGAGGTAAATTCAAATGGCCCTGGATGCAAACTTTTGGAAATATTTCAAGACTCACCAAAGCATTGGACTGCTCTCCCCTTATTTCTATGGCAGGTAGCAAAGAGAGACCCTGACTTCCATATAGTTTTATATATTGCTCCTTTAGAAAGGAAACATAATCCAGCCTTTGACTGCAGGATATGCATCATGGCTGAAGATCATCAGGATATACCAGTGGCTTCTGTAGAACCAGGAGATTCCCCAAGGATTGTCTATGTAAAGACCGTTAAAGGTAAACCTTTAATAAAATACATTTCTACAAACTCTTTTTTGTGCTGTCATTGTGCAGGATGTATATTTGACATTTTTTGCTCTGTATTTGCTTGGGTTTTGCTTTCAGACAGAAACATACAGTTGGTTGTATTCAGCTTTGGACTTCTCTGCTTTCTGCAAGTCGCTCTCAACATTTCACTGCTTCAGACTTTCTGTGAGTTTGTTTATATCTCGGGTCTTCAGGAATTTAATATTGGCCTAATTAGGATCTACATCCCAGCTGAAACATTCCAATTTCAGAAAAAAAATGTTTATCTACGACTTCAATACTTTTTTTAACAGGTTAAAACTGAAGAACTTAATGTTATTGTTTTCTCGGGGTTGTGTGAGAATATGATGTCTTGCAGCACATTACATAGGTGGCAGCAGGTTAGTATGACAGGTGGGGATATTGTTTTTTGGTTAAGGTGGAGCTATGCATTATATTTTGTACCATGTGTAAATATGATAGAAAATGTAGTGGAGACAGCAATGTGGGATAAGCATAGTAAAGATTTTGTGATAATAGAATGCTTAAAGGAATAACAAACAAAAAGCAGGCAGTATATCTCAAGTAAAGCCCGACGTACACTGCGATTTTCGGGGTGATTTTCCAGTCGTGCAAGTATTTTTCGATCGGGCCGACTTTCAGCCTGATCGTGCGTTGTGAGTCGTGTAGTGTACAGGGGGTTACGAGCGGTGATCAGCCTCTCACGACCACCTCCTGATCAGGAATCGTGAGGTCGGGAGAATCTCAAAGATGTTTGATTTTCTTCAGACCATCGATGGCATATCGCTCAGAACGCATGGGCAAACAAGGACTTTTACTTTTATTCCTCCTCTCAGACGTAAACACAGTAGCGTGGCAGGGGTGCAATGAGTAAAATGCAGCTCCGTCTGCAAAATTGATGGACTGCAGCAGCCATGTCTTGTCCCAAATATGTTGTCGCCTTTTCTTTTAAGGACTTTCAACACAAAATTGCACAAATTGCTAAGGCAGCGCGGTTTACTATAGTGAGCTTAATATTCCCCTTCTATTTTTTGGCCTCAGGATAGACGCGTCAGAGCAGCTCCATCTCACTGCGTAGCTGAGTCCAATGTGGTTTTTAGTCGCACAGTGTGAGGAGGTAGATCGCATCAGAGCATCAGGCCAAACATAAATCGTGAGCTGTAAACTCACACTGTACGACTAAACACAGGGTTTATTATTATTGGGTTTAGTCATACAGTGGGAGCAGCAGATGCGTGCAACGCTTTAAAAAAATTGCACAGTGTACGTCAGGCTTAATGGAGAAAAAGCCATTGATGATCACATTAGCATTTAGCAAAAGGGAAAGTTTGGAGAGTGGCATTTGATGCAGGTGAGTTGATCAAGTAAACATGAGAAGCAGCTGCGACAGAAAGAAGCACGAACACTTAGAAAAGGAGGTGGAGACAAAAAACTAGAAATTAACACAGAAAAGGCCTTGAAGCCAAAAAGTACATTTAGTGTCCAGAGATCAGCACCTCCTCCTTGTTGCTAATTTGTTATCAGCACACTATGTCATGGTTTTGGTTCTGTTTAAGTTTTCAGAGTTTTCATTAGTTTCATTTGCATTTTTTTTTTATTGTAGTGGTTTTTGGTTGAATTTGAGGTCTTATGTATTTGTTGTTTACCCTGTTTCCCCCTTGTGTAAATCTCCTTCCCCTTTCTCTCTTCTAGATTCTTCTGTTCACACCTGATCCCAATCAGTTGATTACTCCAGTCCTTGTTCTGTTTGCCATATATACCCCTACTTTTCAGTTAGTGTTTGGTGATTTCTCGTTGTTTCTTTGCTCCACATATACGTTTTCCCCTTACATCTCCTGTTTTTTTGTTTTCCTGTAATTGTCATTGGATTTTTGCTTCTATGGCCTTCTACATTTTATTAAACCTGCAAGAATGCATCCCTGCCTACATCATTTCTGCATTTGGGTCCTCAACCAACCTCAACTCAGTCTTGATGCACAAGGCCATCTGCAAAAACAACCCATATTCTTATAATTGGCATGGCAAAGCCAGTTTACTAATATAGCACAATTAAATACAAAGACAATTCAAAGTGCTTTAAAAAGAGTTACTTTTTTTCCCAATCTGTAAAAATGTGTAACTACATTAACTACAGTTTTAACTGCACTTTATGATGTTAAAGAATAATAAATTCCGTACTTTATTGACTAATAAAAACGTATCACTTTTTTCCAGGCTTCAACAGGACTGATCAGAAAATTCAGCTTGGATTGATTTTTTGCTTCTACGATGCTGAGAGTGGACATAATGGTTTGAATCTTACAGCGTGTGAGTTTAGTGTTTCCTAAATTCATTCAATTACAGAAAGGATCAGGATCTGACCTTCATAATCATTGTGTCTAAATAGTTACCAGTTTCCTCTGATATTTTCTTCTCAGTAACAGATACAACTAAAGAACAGATTGCAGATGTTTGTCCAAGTGTGTATTACATCTCCACAAGCAGGAAATCCTGGCATGAAAGCAGAAAAGATTGTCTGGAAAGAGGTGCAGACCTGCTGATTATCAACAGCCAAGAAGAGCAGAAATTCATGATCCAGTTTAAAAGGCCATTTTGGATTGGTCTGATCTATGCTGCGAGAGAAAAGGAATGGAAATGGATTGATGGGACTCTGCTGAACACAAGGTTTGGGATGTGTTTTCAAATAATGATTCAACCATCTTAGCATTAGA